CTTCATTATTTCGATCAAAAATTGCTTTTGTTGTTTTATTCTTTGTGTTTTAAAGGAGCAATATCTGACAGAAATTTTAATGCAAGTCAGCCCTGTGAAGAAAATAAAAACGATCCATAGTAACATTATCCAGACCAAGAATCCTTCCGCTTATTTTTTAACTTCTGATGGTAACTACACTTATCATGGTGAGCACAGTGAAATGAGCAGAATTGTCAAATCACTAAATTGTCCATCTGAAACTAATATAACATTGTATTCAACTACATTTCAGCTTTTCTAAAAAAGCATAGTATTGGACATATTGAGCACTCAATAAAAGTTAATATTATTAAAAAAGAAGAAGAAGGAGGAGGAGGAGGAGGAGGAGGAGAATGCACTGTTTTTGCCAACACCAGCATCCTGGTTCACATTGTAAAATAACAAACAAGTAATTCATTTATACTTCCATTTCTTGTGAGTTTTTGGTTGGGTGGTGGGTGGGAGGCGGGTAGTCAGTCTCCTTGATCCAAATCAGTATCAGGGCATTAATAAGAGCAGAGTCTGGACACATCATGCCTGGGGATTAGGACAGGACAGAAGAGCTGAAGGCATGCCACTAGGTGAAGCCTCTGCTGGGTCAGCAGCCAAAGTCTCTACTGGAGATGCAGCTCTTTCTCTGCAACCACTTTCACCTTTACCACACAATAGATACATAAGCTGCTCGTCTTCATATCTTCTGCTGCTTACATTCCTGTCTTACTTTCATAAGAAAATGCCCAACAAATTACTCACCTGCTTCATGAAGGGGTTCCCTGTCTGACTGCACTGTGGTGGCTGTTCCATTATTTTGGCTAACCTCACAGCATATACACACTGGTCCTCAAGCACTACTATTACTCTCTTACAAACACTTCAGTTCATGTTTTTCTCCCAAGATGGTCTAGAAGCTTCTTAAGAAGCTGTTCCTTTTGATTCCTTTAAAAAGCTTACCCTGAAATTTTGTAGGTAAAATATTCATGCTTAGCACATAGGGGGGAAAGTGGAAGGAAGGAAGGAAGGAAGGGTGGAAGGAAGGAAGAAAGGAAAGGAAAGGAGGGAAAATGTTCAGCTTCAACATATTAGACTTGCCTTAGATAGTTTCTTGTGATACATATTTTGTATAAAAAAGGGATAAAATACACTTCCTGTTTTCTCAGAATTTGTAATCTGCTCAAAAGACAAGGTTATCACTTAAGTCATAAAGTCTTAAGTTCAAAAAAAAACAACATTGGGGCCAGAGACCAGAGCTAAAATGCTGGGAGAGTAGGGGAAAACATTACGAAAGAGGCAGTTTGTGAGATTGGCATGTGAGGGAACAAAGGCAAATAATTGAGAACTTTTTTCTTATAATCCAAGCAAAGCAAGGAAGGCATTCCAAAGGAACAGTAGTGCAAATTTGGAATGAATGAGTGAATTGGTAAATGAATGAATTAATCAATACATCCAGTCAGCATGCCAACCAGTCAGGAACCCTCTACCTATATACACCTGTAAAAGAAGGGATGGACTGGTGATGTGGAGTTGAACCCTGGAGGAAGAGCTTTAGATTTATGGTCTTGAGTGTTGTGAATGGCGATTCCTAGACTCACACAGGGTACATCCTGACCAAGGGATGGTCCCCAAAGCACTACTTTCAATGATTTATAATTATTTTGGCTCCTTCTTCCTACTGCTACTTACTAGTGAGAATCAAAGTCAGAAAACTAAGATGACTAAAATAAACACTTTTTTAAATCATATTTATATTCAACTCCCAACTACATATTATGAAAACTGAGTAAAATCCCAACTTAAATGACCATTTATCCATTTTGTTTTCCACAGAACAAAAAGATCTAAACTCTATAATCATCTCCCCAACTTTTTTGACCTTTAAAAACTAAACTCCCATTTCCTCTTAAATGCACAGAACCACAACTTGGACACAGGCATTTAATACCATTTAAATAGGATTTTTAAAATGAGGAATAGATACAGAAATAGCCCAACTGCCCAACTAGTTTTATAACTAGTTTTTCTTTTTCTTCAACTGCTCTGGCATCATTACATCATGGTGAAAATAAGGAGGAAATGACTTTTTATTTGTAATAATCTTAAGGGGATGCCATAAAAATGGTAATGTAGATCTATTTTTTTGATATAGAAGTCCATGATATAGTATAGAGTGTGAAAATATGTATGATATGGTCCCAATATGAAAATGTGTGAGTGTAAGGGTACAGACACTGGTATTTGGAAAGATGCTCATCTAAATATTGAGAATAGTTATCTCTGGGTAGTAGAATTTGGGGTGACTATAACTTCCTCTTTTATACTCTTCTGGAGTGTTAAAAAATGGAGCCTGTCCATTTCATGGGAGGAGGAAAACTTCAATTATACCAGTTAAGTTTATTTCTTTAAAATATGTATATATTTAAAATATTTCATAATTTAAAACAGGAAAAAAACTGAAAAGACAAAATAGAATAACACTTATACAAGCACAGGAAAAATAAAGGTAATAAATGTTAAAATTGGTTCTGTTTGGCTCATGATTTTTATTTTTTTCACTTTTCTATCTATATTTTCCTACCATTTTACAATGAGTGCATTTTGTTTTTACAAAAGCTCTTATGGCTAAATTTAAAACTCAGTAAGTTTGTGGACTAAAAAAATCCAGGCCTTTTAAGTGGAAAATCAAACTTCTCAAGTCAGAATTACTCAGGAAGTTTCTCTGATCCCTTCAAATAAATTTTCAAATATCTCTTAAAACAAAATTTTTTTTTAAGATTTTATTTATTTATTTGACAGAGATCACAAGTAGGCTGAGAGGCAGGCAGAGAGAGAGAGGAGGAAGCAGGCTCCCCGCTGAGCAGAGAGCCCGATGCGGGGCTCGATCCCAGGACCCTGGGATTATGACCTGAGCTGAAGGCAGAGGCTTTTAACCCACTGAGCCACCCAGGCACCCCTTGAAACAAAATTTTAAAGTTATTTAACATTAATGCAATTTTCTTCTTGTAGTTATTCTTATTGTGGTTCTTTTAATCTGATGTTAAAGAAACACATTTTAATTTCTAAAAGGATAATAACATTCAATCCATAATAATTAGAGTTCTTGGGACAGTCATATTGGTACCCATCCAATCACAGACTAGAAAAAAATGTAGGGGTCCATAAGGGAAATTCTGGCCTTACTACCAGTCATCAAAGAAATGAATAGCCAAACCATCTCAAGTCATCTGTCTTGAAGAGGTCTACCCAAAGACTCCAAAATCGCTCTCAGCAATAGGCAAGACCTAAAGACCAAAATGTTCTCATTTTGCTAATAAAAATGCCCTCTGCTTTAATTAAAGTCTATTTGGTCCTCTATAAAAACAAATAGTCTGCATTTTCTTTTGTAAAGACTTTGACATACTTGAAACTTGTAAATTTTCTCTTCTCTTCTTTTCCTTAGAGACTAATTTTTAAATCATTTTTTGCCATTAACCATTGACTTAGACGTTCCTAGCAGTTTCACTTTGCTTTCTTTGTACCTGAATAGCAGCTCCATTTTCCATCCTTATGTGAGGAACCTTTCCTTCTGTAATGTTGCCCCGACTCCACTGTTGTTGAGATGGTTTTCTCTCCACATTTGAGGTTTTTGAGGGCTTGCCCCAAAAGAAATAAAAAAATTAAGATATAATACAAGTGTAGTACAAATACAATGTGCTCATATCTTGACAAAATAAAAATCCTAATTTCAATAATCTGACAAATCTTTAATGTGTGCCATGGCATTTATCATCTTTTCCAAATTCTAAGCCCTATATGATTCATTGGCTCATTACGCTAAAAGGGACCACAAGAAGCCAGACATTCAATCTAATCCCCTGAATCTAGGCAAGTCTACATGATAACCTGCATCACAAATCTAACAGAACTTACCTAATGACTCTTTAAAATCACAAGAGAAGGCAACTTCAGAGCTTTCTCAATTACCCTTGTTTCAAAACATAACAATCATCCCAAGTAGATTATATATAAAAAATTATTGACCAAACATTCACAAAATATCCTTTGAATGAAAACAATATAGTAACAAGACACTCAGAGATGCCTATATGGCAATAACTATACCATAATACAAATTAAAAATAACAATTTAAGGTGAAATTTTGAAAAATGTGCAACTCTGAGGACTGGGAACCCAACTTTTCTTAAACTTACTGCTCTCTGTCTCCAAAGTTGTACTGTATCAACTACAATCTTCCACCCTTGCCTCTTCTCTATAAAGGTGGAAGATACCCAAACCAGTCCAACCAGGTAGTCATAGATTGTAATTAATGCAAAATGGTTTTGCAAAGTATATTGGATATCCCATCCAGATAACCAGGAATTGTCTTAAATAATAATCACCCCATATTTAGCTACAACCATAAATCCCATTCTGCATCAGTTGAAGAAAATGCCCCAAAATTCAGATTTAATCCAACTTGAAAACCAACTCATTTCTGCAAAAACCATTAAAAAATAAAGAAGCTGGAATAACATTCCAAATTATTCATGATTCTGGCAAATAACTAATTTGGTAGTATATGGAAATATCATAAAAGAAATTATTAACCAATTTTGCTCACCTCTTACGTAAGAAAGAATGTTCCTTTAATAGTTAAGAAGGCAATGAATTAGGGGACAAGGGCCCAAGGGATACAGATGAATCTGAGGATGGGATTAGGAAATGAGAGGCCAACTTATGTTGGGATAGAGAATCTTCAATATTTACCATATCTTTCCCAGAGGAACTATCTATGCTGGCTTGATTTTCTTTTTTCCTCTCCGGGGAAACCATAAACTCTGAGCTGCTAATGCTTGATGCTTGGGACATTTCCACCACAGAAATCGGAGAAAGCCTTGATTTACAGGGACATACCAAAAATGAACCCTTCTTAGAAGTAGATAAACAATTGGAGCATTTTGTGGATTTTTTATCAAAACCACTATTGGCCATTTGCTTAACTCTGCAACAAAAGCAACTTGAAAGAAAGAAGTTTCCACTCTTTGAGGAAAAGAATCAGACCAAATGGGATAAGGTAAGCTGATGGTGAAAACTGTAACTTCCAGTTGGTGAGGTCCTCAGGATAATGATGCACTACACCTACATTCACACATGAGAGCTGTAGAAAGAAAAGAAATCATAATTTAGAAATCTTTCTTATTCTGTAACACTTCTATAAATCAGAGAAAAACTAGGATGAAAAGCATCCTGCCTAGAGATGAAAAGTTAACATTTTCAGCAAAATTAGGACATATTTCAAAAACCAATGGATGGTCATCTTTCAAAACTTAATTCTTTAACTCCATTTTATTTACTTAACAATTGAAAGAATCATTTTTGTCCAGAGCCATAAAATTGCTGAAAAGCATGGTCTAAGGAAATCAGTTTGGTGGGCTGACATCAATTTAATTTTTTTTTGAGTTCTAAGAAGATAGTATGAGTATTTTGTATAGATCCATGATAATTTCAACAAAACTTCTAATTATAAAGATATATAGGTGGAGAATGTTTGTGTACCTGTATGTACTCAGTCACAGTATAAGGTATTGTTTATTGAAATATAATTAACATACAGTACTATATTACCTTTAGATATACAATGTAATGATTCAACATTTATATTCATTACAAAATTAGCACCATGGTAAGTCTAGTTCATCTGTCACCATTTATTATAATATTATTGACTATATTTCCTGTGCTGTATTTTTTACAGTCCTGTGATTGGTAACGAAGTTTGTTTTAACCCCTTCAACTGTTTTATCCACCCACTACCCCTTCCTTCTTTTTAAATTATTAAGGAAAATGTGGTCCATATACACTATGGAGTACTATGCCTCCATCAGAAAGGATGAATACCCAACTTTTGTAGCAACATGGACGGGACTGGAAGAGATTATGCTGAGTGAAATAAGTCAAGCAGAGAGAGTCAATTATCATATGGTTTCACTTATTTGTGGAGCATAACAAATAACATGGAGGACATGGGAGAAGGAGAGGAAAAGGGAGTTGAGAGAAATTGGAAGGGGAGGTGAACCATGAGAGACTATGGACTCTGAAAAACAACCTGAGGGTTTTGAAGGGGTGGGGGGTGGGACTTTGGGGGAACCAGGTGGTGGGTATTAGGGAGGGCACGGATTGCATGGAGCACTGGGTGTGGTGCAAAAACAATGAATACTGTTACATTGAAAAGAAATAAAAAATTTTTTAAAATTATTTTTATTAACATATAATGTATTATTTGCCCCAGGGGTACAGGTCTGTGAATCTTCAGGCTTACACATATCATACTCACCATATCACATACCCTCCCCAATGTCCATATATGTGTATATATACACATACATATATATATATATACACATATACATATATACCACCTCTTCTTTATCCATTCATCTGTTGGTGGAAATCTAGGTGCTTTCCATAGTTTAGCTATTGTGGACTTTGCTGCTATAAACATTCGGGTGTACGTGCCCCTCTGGATTACTACATTTGTATCTTTTTTTTTTTAATAAACATATAATGTATTTTTATCCCCAGGGGTACAGGTCTGTGAGTTGCCAGGTTTACACATTTCACAGCCCTCACCATAGCACATACCCTCCCCAATGTCCATAACCCCACCCCCTCTCCCAACCCCTCTCCCCCCAGCAACCCTCAGTTTGTTTTGTGAGATTGAGTCACTTATGGTTTGTCTCCCTCCCAATCCCATCTTGTTTCATTTACTCTTCTCCTACCCTCTTAACCCCCCATATTGCATCTCCACTTCCTCATATCAGGGAGATTTGTATCTTTAAGGTAAATACCCAGTATTCCGATTGCTGGGTCATAGGGTAGTTCTATTTTCAACATTTTGAGGAACCTCCATGCTGTTTTCCAGTGGCTGCACCAGCTTGCATTCCCACCAACAGTGTAGGAGGGTTCCCCTTTCTCCGTATACTCTCCAACATCTGTTGTTTCCTGACTTGTTAATTTTAGCCATTCTGACAGGTGCGAGGTGTTATCACACTGTGGTTTTGATTTGTATTTCCCTGATGCTGAGTGATGTGGAGCACTTCTTCATGTGTCTGTTGGCCATCTGGATGTCTTCTTTGCAGAAATATCTGTTCATGTCCTCTGCCCATTTCTTGATTGGATTATTTGTTCTTTGGGTGTTGAGTTTCATAAGTTCTTTATAGATTTTGGATACTAGCTCTTTATCTGATATGTCATTTGCAAATATCTTCTCTCATTCTGTCAGTTGTCTTTTGGTTTTGTTAACTATTTCCTTCGCTGTGCAAAAGCTTTTGATCTTGATGAAGTCCCAATAGTTCATTTTTGCCCTTGCTTCCTTTGCCTTTGGCAATGTTTCTAGGAAAAAGTTGCTGCAGCTGAGGTCGAAGAGGTTGCTGCCTGCATTCTCCTCAAGGATTTTGATGGATTCCTTTCTCACATTGAGGTCCTTCATCCATTTTGAGTCTATTTTCATGTGTAGTGTAAGGAAATAGTCCAGTTTCATTTTTCTGCATGTGGCTGTCCAATTTTCCCAACACCATTTGTTGAAGAAACTCTTTTTTCCATTGGACATTCTTTCCTGCTTTGTTGAAGATTAGTTGACCATAGAGTTGAGGGTCTATTTCGGGGCTCTCTAATCTGTTCCATTGATCTATGTGTCTGTTTTTGTGTCAGTACCATACTGTCTTGATTATGACAGCTTTATAATAGAGCTTGAAGTTTGGAATTGTGATGCCACCAACTTTGGCATTCTTTTTCAACATTCTCTGGCTATTCAGGGTCTTTTCTGGTTCCATATAAATTTTAGAATTATTTGTCCCATTTTTTTGAAAAAAATGGATGGGATTTGGAAAGGGATGCCATAAATGTGTAGATTGCTTTAGGTAGCATAGACATTTTCACAATATTTGTTCTTCCAATCCATGAACATGGAATGTTTTTCCATTTCTTTGTGTCTTCCTCAGTTTCTTTCATGAGTACTTTACAGTTTACTGAGTATAGATTATTTGCCTCTTTGGTTAGATTTATTCCTAGGTATCTTATGGTTTTGGGTGCAATTGTAAATGGGATTGACTCCTTAATTTCTCTTTCTTCTGTCTTGCTGTTTGTGTATAGAAATGCAACTGATTTCTGAGCATTGATTTTATATCCTGACACTTTACTGAATTCCTGTATGAGCTCTAACAGTTTTGGAGTGGAGTCTTTAGGGTTTTCCACATAAAGTATCATATCATCTGCAAAGAGTGATAGTTTGACTTCTTCTTTGCTGATTTGAATGCCTTTTATTTCTTTCTGTTGTCTAATTGCTGCGGCTGGGACTTCTAGTACTATGTTGAATAGCAGTGGTAATAGTGGACATCACTCTCATATTCCTGACCTTAAGGGGGAAGGCTCTCAGTTTTTCCCCATTGAGAATGATATTCGCTGTGGTTTTTTCATAAATGGCTTTGATGGTATTGAGGTATGAGCCCTCTATCCCTACACTGTGAAGAGTTTTGATCAAGAAATGATGCTGTACTTTGTCAAATGCTTTTTCAGCATCTATGGAGAGTATCATATGGTTCTTGTTCTTTCTTTTATTAATGTATTGTAGCACATTGATTGATTTGCAGATGTTGAACCATCCTTGCAGCCCAGGAATAAATCCCACTTTGTCATGGTGAATAATCCTTTCAATGTACTGTTGGATCCTATTGGCTAGTATTGTGGTGAGAATTTTTGCATCCATGTTCATCTAGGATATTGGTCTGTAATCTGCTTTTTGTCTGGTTTTGGGATCAAGGTGATGCTGGCCTCATAAAATGAGTTTGGAAGTTTTCCTTCCATTTCTATTTTTTTGGAACAGTTTCAGGAGAATAGGTATTAATTCTTCTTTAAATGTTTGGTAGAATTCCCCTGGGAAGCCGTCTGGCCTTGGGCTCTTGTTTGTTGGGAGATATTTGATGACTGCTTCAATCTCCTTATTGGTTATGGGTCTGTTCAGGTTTTTTATTTCTTCCTGGTTCAGTTGTGGTAATTTATATATCTCTAGGAATGCATCCATTTCTTCCAGATTGTCAAATTTGCTGGTGTATAGTTGCTCACAATATGTTCTTATAATTGTATTTCTTTGGTGTTAGTTGGGATCTCTCCTCTTTCATTCATGATTTTATTTATTTGGGTCCTTTCTCTTTTCTTTTTGATAAGTCTGGCCAGGGGTTTATCAATCTTATTAATTCTTTCAAAGAACCAGCTCCTAGTTTTGTTGATTTGTTCTCTCATTCTTTTCATTTCTATTTCATTGATTTCTGCTCTGGTCTTGATGATTTCTCTTCTCTTGCTGGGTTTAGGCTTTCTTTGCTGTTCTTTCTCCAGCTACTTTATGTGTAAGGTTAGCTTGTGTACTTGAGACCTTTTTTGTTTCTTGAGAAAGGCTTGTATCACTATATAGTTTCCTCTCAGGACCTCCTTTGCTGTGTCCCAAAGAATTTGAACAGTTGTGTTTTCATTTTCATTTGTTTCCATGAATTTTTTCAATTCTTCTTTAATTTCCTGGTTGACCCATTCATTCTTTAGTAGGATGCTCTTTAGTCTCCATGTATTTAAGTTCTTTCCAACTTTCCTCTTGTGATTGAGTTCTAGCTTCAGAGCACTGTGGTCTGATCTCAATCAAGGAATGATCTCAATCTTTTGGTACTGGCTGACACCTCATTTGTGGCCCAGGGTGTGATCTGTTCTGGAGAATGTTCCATGCGCATTAGAGAAGAATGTATATTCTGTTGCTTTGGGATGAAATGTTCTGAATATATCTTTGATGTCCATCTGATCCAGTGTGTCATTTAAGGCCTTTATTTTCTTGTTGATCTTTTGCTTAGATGATCTGTCCATTTCAGTGAGGTGGGGTGTTAAAGTCCCCTACTATTTTTGTATTATTGTCAATGTGTTTCTTTGATTTTGTTATTAATTTGTTTATAAATTGGCTACTCTTATGTTGGGGTATAGATTTTTAAAATTGTTAGATCTTGTTGGACAGACCCTTTAAGTATGCTATAGTGTCCTTCCTCATCTCTTATTATAGTCTTTGGCTTAAAGTCTAATTTATCTGATAGAAGGATTGCCACCCCCAACTTTCTTTTGATGTCC